TGTTATCTGGTCCAATCCAGTTCAGGTATTATCCATGGTATTATCTCGTCCCATCACACGTGTTTTGGCGGATTGGCGTCGGCAATGATGAGTATTGTCGACGATGGAACGACTCCTCTTACAAAATGTTCACCTGTGCCGTAGTATCGTTTTTGAAGCGGGAAGCTTAAAAACACGCAAATTTCTTACGCGGATTGTGAAGTTATGAGTGCATTTCAGACTTTGCCGATGCGCTCATCGTGATTTTTGAGGCATTATCTAAAAGAAACAACTCTTATTTTTGCTCTAGCAAAAGTTTGCAACAGGCCCATTGAAAAAACAATTGGTTTCCGTCCCCCCTCCCCCCTAAGGGTTCCCCGGAAAATTTTAGGGGGCCAGAAAGTAGCTCCCTTTGACCTGAGAACATCCCCCAAGTTTCAAATCTTTGCCTCCATTAGGTAAAAATTTAGAGGGGATCGAATTATGGATCACCCTTTATATCGCACGAATTTCGCCATATATATTGTGAAGTCGATTTCTTATATATTGACACATTTCTTATATATTGCACGATTTTCGCCGTATATTTTGGAGTCGATTTCCTAAATATAGGCGCTGAATGTCTTAAAATTATAATAACTAACTAACTAACTGTCACATTTCTTATATATTGCGACAGTTCCGTATATATATTTCAAAATTTCATATATATCTTGAATGTTTCATGTATTACATCATTTCTTATATATTGTCAACATTCGTATCTTTAGTTACAAACGGCCCTTCATATCCTGAGACCGATGACTTGTTGACTTCCGTTTGGTAAACAGTCCAGGACATCGGGCAATCCCAACGGAAGTCGAACAACGCCGAGCGTTGGGCATCGGGTAATTCCATTGCCCAACGCTCCTCAACAGTTGACTTCGACAACGCAGCTACTGTCTCGATTGTTCTCGAGTCTCGACGTCCATGAAATAGGAACTAACCTAACATTCGTGATTTGTTTTGTTGTTCTGCCCGTGAGTTGATGACTGCAGAGAGCACTAACACTGTTACTCTACCGTGTGTATGTGTTAGTGAAGTCGGGTTTCATGATTTTCGGGATGCTGTCCAAGATACAGCCTAAACGGTAAAAGTAAACCCCAACTTATGTATAATTTTTAGAATCCTCATATCTTCAAGATGATTCCTGGAAATAACCATAACTTCATTCCAGAATAGTGTAAGCGAGAAATTCAATGATAAGCGTCGGCGGGTCGGGTCGCCCATTGCACCCGAAAAGCAGTTTAGACGCAATATTTCTCTTAGGATGCCTTGGATATTAATGAAACTAAAACGCACACTACACGGGAACAAGACAATTCTTTTAATATAACATTATATAGGGCACTGATGCCTCGTATTCTCCATAGCTTTGTCCGAACGTGAAAATGGTCAAAGTGGATACTTTTTGCTATTTTAGGCACATATGCGTAATTATCTCGTTTAATAAATCATCAACCTCCTTGAAACTCAATAGTTCGTTAGACGGGACCGAGACGCATCTTTAGACACCAAAATTGCTGAAATCCGTCGCTCCGTTGCTTTTAAAAGTTTACGGGACCGCAACTAAAAACCCAAATACCTAAGCCAAGTTCGTGTAACTATGGTGTCGTTGCCTCGACCGGGCTGTGCTGTGTAGTGTGTTGCCAATTGTTGGAGGATAGGTTACTTGCCCGGTGGTGGCTACCGCCACTCATGATGCCTCGACCGAGCTGTGCTGTGTTGCCAATTGTTGGAGGATAGGTTACTTGCCCGGTGGTGGCTACCGCCACTCATGATCTGGAAACTAGAGTCCCTTTATACCCAGAGTTAAGACAACTCGATTATCAGCTGACTGGCAGCCGGCCTTGGCTGGCCATGGAGGCGAAACGAGTGCACCCAAACGAATGATATTGAGGGATAAGGATCAGGATTCCTGCGATGTCTGTCACACAAAAACAACAACATCAACAAATTGATCAATTGAAAAGAAAATGAGATTGGTTTGTGAATAATTTCTTAATCTATTTTCATTTTGGACTGATGGAAATAACAATTTACTCTTGATAAACCACAATTAGGTAATATTTTCATTATTCTTGTTCACATACGAGGTACCGCCATCTTGGTGCACTCGTTTCGGCCTCCATGAGCGAGAACCAATCAGAATTGGATTTTTTTTTAGGCCACTTTCAGCCCAACCCTGGCCCAACCAAAAGTGAGTTGTCTTAACTCTGGGTATAAAGGGACTCTACTGGAAACCGCATTGAAAGAATGGAAGAGGAAATGTGCAAATATGGGCGTCCCGTTGGAAGATGGTGACACATGATCAAGTGGTGGTAGCGCAAGACGAAGAAGATGCAGATTATATGACACGCAAGTTAGTGGAGGAATATCGATTATGGGGCCTTGATGTGAGTGTCTCCAAAACAGAAAAATTGGTTATTGGTGGTAATCAGCAAGGTATAGAGTTGGAGGATGGCCGGTACATCAACGGATGTGAATAGAGTACCTGTATAGCGAGAGTATGGACAGAAGTGAAACTCCGAAAATCCATCAGGCCTTCACCGATGCTTCTGCGAATAAAGTCGTCGTTTTCCGCACGAAAGAACGTAACTACATTTCAATGTTGCCAAATTTCCTTTCGTAAATTGCATTTTAACCAGAAAAGTATTGGACATTTCTAACTGAAAATTTCACTGATTTTTCTTCCGATTTCATGCAAAAATCAGACAAATTTGGATATTAATTGCACACTTACATTTTTGTAAAATAAATTAATTGTTGGAGTCAATTTGGCAACCTTGGATTGGAGTTACGTTCCTTCGTGCGGGAGACGACGAAGTTAGGGCCCAGAAATGCAGCCAACCTATGAATTTCAATTAGCCAGAACGATTTACTAATACTAATGTTACGAACCGTCGTTTATTAAGCACGTGTTTGACTCAGTTTTTGCATAAATTTACTCAATTTTGCGGAAGAACGCTCATTTCTGTACATTCTTGGCCATCTTGGTTAGAATTGGAATCTGCAGACTGGCAGTGAAATTTTGTGCGTTAGAGGTTGGTTAGAAGGGTGGCTGCACTTTTGGGCCCTAAGCCCTCCATGAAGCGATCTGTCCATACTCTCGCTATACAGGTACTCTAGATGTGAAGAGTATAAATACCTTGGAGTATGGCTGACCCAAGATGGGAAGTTTGATCGGGCCATCAGAGAACGTAATATGCAAGGAAGAAAAGCCATCGCGATGTTAAACGGGGTTCTCTTGGATCAGAGAATCTCGAAGGAAAATAAACGGAGAATTTACAGCGCCATCGGGCAGAGCATGATTACGTACGGGAGTGAGGTCTGGCAATTGAAGAAAAAATCTGAGGATATTTTACGGGCAACCGAAATGGACTTATGGCGAAGGTCTGCAGGGATCTCGCGGAGAGAGCGCGTTCGTAATAAACGAGTGCGTGAGATAATGGGAGTTGAGGTAGATATTGAGCACGATATCAAAACCAGGCAGCTGGTTTGGTATGGACACCTGCGGAGAATGGCAGATAGTCGGTCGCCCAGAAAGGTATTTGATTGGGTTCCTCCCGGAAGAAGGCGGCGTGGACGTCCAGTAAAAGGTTGGCGGGAGGGAGCAGTGGAGGGGGAGATCAGACTGTGTAATCTGCCCGATGATTTGTGGGAGGATCGATTCCGATGAAGATTTGGAGTCGCAGAGCGCTCTAGTGCGCTGAGTTAGCGGCTTGATATGTATGTATACCCACTTTTCAGTTACTTAACGGACACCCGGTATAACCGCGTTCAGTTTCAGAAAGGACCAGAGACAAGAGACCGAAGGGATGTCGATTTTTTCGATTCGATTCTGACGAATCGATTTTTTCAGAGAAAAAATCGATTTTTTTGAATCGATTTTGTGAAAGGCGATTTATCGATTCAATCGATTTTCTATTTAAAAAAATCGAAAAAATCGTTCAGACTTTTTCGCTCTGTTTAAAGTTTAAATTACTCTTTTAACGTCACGTCAAACCTACTTACGTTCAAACGCGGGTCCAGAAGGAAGGTATTTAGCGTTTGGTAAACTTTCTAATACATTCTTTTAGGTTTAATTGCAATTGCTGAACAGATCTTCAAGCACCATAACGACCATAACCTCTTTGAAATTTGAATGAATACTGTAAACAAAACTTCTTAACCGTCAAAACGGTCAGACGTCAAACATTCCTTGAACTAGTTGAACTTTCACTTTCACTACCTACTTATTTTATCCTACCTACCGATTTAATCAACGCCACTAGTAGAACTTTCTTTCACTTTAAAAATTTCTAAGCCTGAAATTAGCTCGTGCGCGGGGAAAAAACGATTTTTTCGATTCGATTTTAAAAATCGATTTTTGAGGTACGATTTTAAATCGATTAATCGATCTTTCGAAAAAAATCGAATCGATTCGCGTAATCGATTTTTTCAAAAAAATCGACATCCCTCACGCCCTATTCCGCCAATTAGAGTCCCTTTATACCCAGAGTTACGACAACTCACTTTTGGTTGGGCCAGGATTGGGCTGAAAGTGGCCTAAAAAAAAATCCAATTCTGATTGGTTCTCGCTCATGGAGGCCGAGACTAGTGCACCAAGATGGCGGTACCTCGTATGTGAACAAGAATAATGAAAATATTACCTAATTGTGGTTTATCAAGAGTAAATTGTTATTGCCATCGGTCCAAAATGAAAATAGATTAAGAAATTATTCACAAACCAATCTCATTTTCTTTTTAATTGATCAATTTGTTGATGTTGTTGTTTCTGTGTGACAGACATCGCAGGATTCCTGATCCTTATCCCCCAATATCGTTCGTTTGAGTGCACTAGTTTCGGCCTCCATGGCCAGCCAAGGTCGGCTGCCAGTCAGCTGATAATCGAGTTGTCGTTACTCTGGGTATAAAGGGACTCTACCGCCAATGTATTTTGAGTGAGGCACATCTAATTCTCGCGGATTCAACAAAACAACGGTCATGTATTTTCTGATTTCGCCTAAAGTTGACTGGTGCTAGTCGCATCTGGTGAGCTTTTGGCAATATGGCGATTTGTTTACATTCTTCCTTATCACTTGCAAAGCGGAAAATTTTCCAATTTTTCCTTTGAAACTCTCCGAATTTGTCATAAAATGACTTTTTACCAAGTAAATAATTAATTCACCCCTTCTACTCAACATTTGTGATACTTTCGGTGGTTTCACTTCTTGCAGTGAGAAACAGATTCTCACAAGGTCCTCAGATTGTTCAACTTTCATATGGATAATTATTTTAGCAATCGAAATGTTCTTTGACTGTAAATGGTGTATAATTTTTTCAAGATAATTCTCTGTAAATAATTCTGTTTCCAAAATCCTATCCCGAAGCCTGATGTAATGCATTGAATGCGGAGCACTTCGACTGAAGAGTCGATATGTGTCTTTAAGGAGCTGTGTAAATGAAACGGTTGGATAAGCCTGTAAGCAGTACAATTTCTTTTGTGTGTGAAAAATAACTGAATGTCTAGAATTCTAAACATCTGACCGTATCTCAAGTACCTGAAGGAAATGTTGGTCAGGTCAGAGTTTGTGAATCCTTGGCAGCAGTTACTGAAATTCTCCTACGTACTTAACAACTTTGCTCATTAAAGTTTGGTAAGTGAGAAATGTAAACCAACAATAAGTAGTGCGCGGTTTGAATCTTCGCCTGTTCTCGTCAAGAGGTAGATTTGACGCATTATGAAAAAGCTAAAAACTGCAAATAAGCTGTCACATTTCTTTCTTGAAAGATGCCTGTTCAAACTAAATTTAGTTTCTTTATTTCTGAATGATGATAGAACCTTTAAGGGCCGAAATATCACGAATTTTGATCTATAAGTTGTAAGAGAGCACTCTGGTGAGATCCTCTTTCCTTTTTTCGAGTTACACATTTTCCAATTTTACAGGAAGTAGTATTAGTTGCATCCAGTACCTATCACAATTTATATGTGTTCAATGTGTTTCCTCATCGAAATGAACGAAGAAAAAACATTTACTTTTATTTTCACCGAATTAATGAGAGTTTTACTGCCAACTAAGCTAGCAAATGTTTACGGTGAAGCTACTTTATTTGTTTCACGACTCCCAATTTTAGGAATTCTAAGGCGAAGTTGATAGCGTATACATCATTTCTCATTTAATGCAAGGTTGAAATACTTTATGATGGTGGTGGAAGAGACAATTCTGGTAAAATTGAGAGAATAATCAGGAAGAAAAGTTCTTAAACAAATCTCAGGAACTCCATCAGATGATGGGCACTTCAACCTCCAAGGATTTTTACACTATGGAGTTATGGACTAATACTGACAAGCATAATATGATGGATCTGAGCGGTCTCTTACTTACTTAACTTTGATGAGCGAAGGCCTTAAATATGCAGAAGAATTGCATTAACCAAGGCGGATAAAGAATGGTGGTCTCATTTGGATTTTGGCTGCCATCTTGAAGCGTTGTGACGTCAGGAGGGTACGGGTTTTGCCGTGCAATCCGAGGTTGAGTTGGGTTGAGTCGGCCCCCCCGGCCTCGGCCAGCCCATGTACCCGATACCGTGTGACGTCCAGAGGGTACGAAATGCGACCACCATTCTTTATCCGCCTTGTGCATTAACTGCTGCCAAGGATTCACTAACTCTGACCTGACCAACATTTCTTTTAGGTACTTGAGATACAGTCAGATGTTTAGAATTCTGGACATTCAGTTATTTTCCACACACAAAAGAATTCGTACAGCTTGCGAGCTTATCCAAACGTTTCATTTACACGCCTCCTTAACATCAAATATCGACGCTTCGCAGCCATAACACTCCGCTTTCAACGCACTACATCAGGCTTAGAGATAGGATGTTGGAGACATCAAGCATTTGATCCACGATTAATACTTATCATAGTGAGCAGCTTATGACATAGACAGTAAATTTTTTTTCGTCAAATTTCAATACAGTGTATCTGTAAGACTGGCAGTGCTGCTGTGATCAGGTTCTTAACAGATCTCAAATAGCTAAAATATCTCTATCCTGCGACATGATATGGAGGTTAATAGATTGAGAATTTGATCACAAGGTATTGATACAGTCTAGAAAAAATTATACACCATTTATAGTCAAAAGAAAGTTCGATAACTAAAATTATCCATTATGAAGTTGAACAATCTGCGGACCAGGCTCAGAGTCTCGAGGAATCTGCTTCTCACTACATAAAGTGAAACCACCGAAAGTATCACAAATGTTGATTAAAAGGGGCGAATTAATTTTTTACCTTCTAATAGGTCATTTTATGACAATTTGGAAGAGTCTCAAATGAAAAATTGGAAAATTTTCCGCTTTGCAATTGATTAGGAAGAATGTAAACAAGCCGCCATAATGCCAACAGCCGAGTAGCATCAGTCAACTTTAGGCGAAATCAGAAAATACATGACTGTTGTTCCGTTGGATCCCCGAGAATTAGATGTGCCTCACTGAAAACCCAACGTGCTCGGTCTCTATTTGTCTCTGGAAAGGACCCCACAACAAAACGGCCAAATCGGCCTAAATTGCCTAAACACGGAATCGTACGATTTTCTCAGGGATGATAGAGGGTCTTCCCAAACAGTCAAAACTGGTCATATTTTTTGCCTAACCCCCAGGGAAAAGGGGTGAGAGGGGGTCAAAGTCAAAACCTTTAAATTAGCCTAACTTCTCAACGGTTTGTCGTAGAAAGATGATCTTGGTGTCAAAATTTCCAGAAAAATGAGAGCTTTCAGAATATATGTATGAAATTAATAAAATTTTAAAATTTGACCCACTTTTGGAGTATTTTACAAGGTCCCCCTTTCGTAAATTTTCGTTTTTTGAGATTTTTGGTTGTTCGGTTCGCACGGATCAAAACAAAAACAATTTTAAATGAAAGTAGAGCGTTTAAGCTTTAAAACAAGCCCAAGATAATCATAGGGAAACGATTAGAAGCGGAGTTATGAGTCTTCAAAGTTGACGCGGCGCGCGGGAACCTTGTATGTTCCGAGTCTCAAGGTCACCTGCGCGCCCCGGATTGCCTGCAGGTTGCAAGTTTTTGTGTTTTTATGCTTCTGTAGGTCATTTTTAATGTAAATCATTCAATGAAGATAGAATAATCGAAATTTTTTAATTTTACGGGAGGAGCGAGAGGGGGCTTAGAGTATCAACCATTATGTCCATCATATCTCATTAAACATTTGCTGACGATGACGATTCTGCTCTTATAATTTAGAAAAAACCATGGACCCTCAGTTCAAATATACATATGCTCCATACAGAACTGAATCATTTAGAAATTACAACCCATTGATGCCAAATTTTGGGGTACCCCTAATTTTAAAATCTGTTAATTGAGCTATAAGCTACAGCGCTTGATGGAACTCACTTGGTAAAGCCAAATAGTTTCTCGTAGAAGCAGACGAGCTTTGAGCTTCAAGATAAGTCTCAGCTATTCTTGAGGGGGCTATTTGAAACGCAGTTAAAATTTTTTGACGTTAATGTGGTGTACCTCGCCGAAGGCCCATTGTGTAAAATTAAAAAAATTCGATTAAACTATCTTCATTGAATGATTTACATTAAAAATGACCTACAGAAGCATAAAAACATAAAAACTTGCAACTTGCAGGCAATCCGGGGCGCGCAGGTGACCTTGAGACTCGGAACATACAAGGCTCCCGCGCGCCGCGTCAACTTTGAAGACTCATAACTCCGCTTTTAATCGTTTTCCCCAGATCATCTTGGGCTTGTTTTAAAGCTTAAACGCTCTACTTTCATTTGAAATTGTTTTTGTTTTGATCCGTGCGAACCGAACAACCGAAAATCTCAAAAAACGAAAATTTACGAAAGGGGGACCTTGTAAAATGCCCCAAAAGTGGGTCAAATTTTACAATTTTATTAATTTCATACATATATTCTGAAAGCTCTCATTTTTCTGGGAATTTTGACACCAAGATCATCTTTCTACGACAAACCGTTGAGAAGTTATGCTAATTTAAAGGTTTTGACTTAGACCCCCTCTCCCTCTTTTCCCTGGGGGTTAGGCAAAAAATATGACCAGTTTTGAGTGTCTGGGAAGACCCTCTATCATCCCTGAGAAAATCGTATGATTCCGTGTTTAGGCCGATTTGGCCGTTTTGTTGTAGGGTCCTTTCGGTCGCACAGTGGTTCACATTGGGGAGAAATCGTGGACAAATCAGCATTCTTTGTCAAATAATTCTCAATGAAAGTAAAATTGTCGGTCTCCTGCAGTTTTAATGGCCAACAATGTTCTTATCGGTCCTCAATGCGTTGAATTGTGTTCAGATCCACCAATTTTATCGCACAGCGATCCAAAATGGAGGAATTAGTGGATAAATTGAGATCCTCTGTCAAACTTTTTAAAATTGAAGTATAACTGTTGGTTCCCTGCAGAGTTTTTTTTTAATTATCACTGTATGTCAGACCGTGTTGCTAAAAGAACTTAGTTATGGATTAGATTTTGTAGCATTATATCAATAAAATATGCAAACTTTCAGAAATTTAAAAAAAAAAATAAGGAAAAATGGAGAGAAAAAATTGAAAAAAGATTTATTTTGTAGATTATTTCAATAAAATATGCAAACTTCCAGAGATTTAAAAAAAATAAGGAAAAATGGAGGGAAAAAATTAATACAAGATTTAAACAGTCAAGAAAAGAATTGAAAAAACAGAAAAAAAGTAAAAAATCAGAAAACGAAGAAGAATCAGAAAAACGGAAAAAATATGAAAAACAGGAAAGAAAAGAAGAAAAAAATAAATAATGAAAGTATGGTCTCCTTTGAAGTGCATCAATGCAACACTTGGCTTAACAGTCACCACTTTGAAGCGATCACTTTGGACGTGTGTCCTCCCCTTATGATTGGCTCCTTCTTTGGATTCAATCGCGGCGATTAGAGAAATTCCGAGAATTTCACTCGCCCGTTGCGTGGCAATTAACCAAGTACACCTGGGGCCGAATTTTGACAGATTTTTCACACGGAGAGCGACAGCCACCGATGAGTTCAAACCGCACCACTGGCCTATCAGAAGCGGTAAGCCAGACTTAAGTGCAGTCGAGACCTGTCCTAAGTATATGTAAGTCCGGCGGAAGGACCGACAAAATTCGGCCCCTGCGTTTATTCGCCGTGTGTATCTAGGCGCTCACTCTCTCTGTAAAGGAGGGACGAGCAGAGACTGTGCACGTTGAAAATCACTGCCGTGATAGCAAAAAGAGCAGTAAGTGCAAAAATGAAGTTTTGAGGTAACGGGCTCAGAAGCTTCTGAGCAGAAAATTGTATCGAAAGAGGCCTCTGATCCTTGTCAAATTGCCACTAATCGTCCGAAAGACTCCTAGAAATCGTTCGGGTGGTTGAAAATTGACTGATTTTATTTCAATTACCTTAAAAGGTTATTTTTCATTTTCATGGTAGGCTGTTGTTTGCTTTTGTTAGGCAAGACAGCCGTAAGTGCGATCTTCTGCATGCTTTTGTGGTTGCGTTTTGGACACACAACAATCACATTTTCAGGTTAGAAATTGGCAGAAGAGGGCAGCATTTCACTTGAATGCACTGTTTTCATTGGCTTTTCGAAGGAATATTGTCACTTGCTGCTATCTTGCCTAAAACAACGTCAGTTCTTGCGCACTTACGTCTTTCTCATATTTCTCGTTTCTAAACAATTATGATGAATTTTGCTGTTTCAGCTATTTCAGTGATTTCGTCTGAAATATTTTAGACGAGTTTTGAAGGAAACTTGATTCCGAAAATTTGACACTTACTGCTGTCTTCGCTATCGCGACAGGACACCCGAGGGAGAATTTCATGAGCCGCCACCGCGCCGCGCCGTCCGCAGCGCGCATGGCGCATGACCATCATTAGGTATTACCAAAGACATAAAGACGGAGGGCTAAAAGCAAAAAATGAAGCTTCTTTTCAACCACCTCTTCTATTGGCTAGAGGATTGGCGGCAAAATCGGGACAAGTCTGAAAATCAAATGTAGCGCGGAACTGAATAAAACTGCGTAAACAAAGTAATGTAGGTTGATTTTTGCCCAAATTTACTTACCCACATATGTTTTTTTAGCTTTAGGCTATTTTTTGTCCGTCATCGACTTATTAATAATTAATTTCATTTGGGAGTAACGGTCATGAAGGACTGTAACGGCCTGTTTGAACCGGCAGGACCACCATGAGCAGTAGAAAAACTAACTTTATCTGAGATTACTGCCTGCTACCGAGCAAAAGTATGTGTATTATAAAAAAATGGGCCTGTTGCAAACTTTTGCTATAGCAAAACTAAGATTTGTTTCTTATAGATAATGCCTCAAAAATCACGATGAGCGCATTGGCAAAGTCTGAAATGCACTCATAACTTCACAATCTGCGTAAGAAATTTGCGGTTTTTTGAGCTTCCCGCTTCAAAAACGATACTACGGCACAGGTGAACATTTTGTTAGAGGAGGCGTTCCATCGTCGGCAATATTCATCATGGCTAGAGTCCCTTTATACTGAGAGTCAAGACAACACCCCCTCATGGAGTCACGAACGGGAATAAAGATTACAGAAATTGAACGTTTTTTGTAATCTTTGATTCGGCCCATTCTCAAATTCCTTTCTCCGTTCCCTCTCTCATTCCGTTTGTTCCTTGCCGAACCCGTAATTCCCTGGTCCATTCCTGATTTTAATCTTTGCAATCGGTGAAAATGTAATCTTAATTCCCGTTTGTGACACTGTGAAGGCCTAAAATACGGGAACCAATCAAAATTGGATTCACATTGTCTTGACTCTCAGTATAAAGGGACTCTAATCATGGCCGACGCCAATTCGCCAAAACACGTGTGATGAGACGAGATAACACAGAATTAGACCAGATAACAATCGGCGTGTTTACGTTCATATTTTCCTCGCCCGCCTTGATTGACCCTGAACTCTCCTCCAATTACGCGCGGAACTGCGAAAGCGTCGGCCATGATGAACATTGCCGCCGATGGAACGACTCCTCTAACAAAATGTTCACCTGTGCCGTAGTATCGTTTTTGAAGCGGGAAGCTCAAAAAAACGCAAATTTCTTACGCAGATTGTGAAGTTATGAGTGCATTTCAGACTTTGCCGATGCGCTCATCGTGATTTTTGAGGCATCATCTACAGGAAACAACTCTTATTTTTGCTCTAGCAAAAGTTTGCAACAGGCCCATTCAATGACCAAACTTTCCTATCATATTCGTTGTAAGCATTTAAAACACGTTTAGAAGAAGAAATGTGGAAAAATCAAGAGGACAAGTTCAAATCAAACCGTTTGCCGCCATGGATTCCCGCGCTCATCTACACACTCACACAAGCACCCAGCGCCAAACCAGGCTTCACTTTTGTTCTCCCAGTGATCAACTGGAGAGAACTTTCCTTTCACCCTGGGCCGTTTAATCAATGTAAAATCTCGTAAAATCTCGATCGCTAGTGAGATTTTCCTCTGTTCTCTGGTAAAAAATCGCTTGAAAGAGCGATTTTTTTGTAT